TTTAAAAATATTGCATACAGCGCCATTTTCCCCCTGGTGGTGAGGTTTGGAACTTCCTTTTTTTCGCAGAAAGTAAATTCCCATGACCTCCTTTACACGATTACCAAGTTTGATAACATTTGATCCAGTAGTTTTCCTTTTATGACCGTTTCAGTGTGGAACTTTAATTATAACCACTCTGTATATTATTAAATTTTAATTTGAAGCTATGCGTTATATGTATACCAAGCGTAAATTTTTCGCTTTTATGGAAAAATAAAGAATCAAAGCAAATATACTTAGGATAATGGACCAAAACTGAAAAAATTTCCCCTCCCTCCGAAAATAAAATATTGAAACTTCGACCTTGAATTTATTGGATTATCGAAATATTTAATTTGACTTATCTTCTAAGTCCTAGTTCCGACAACAATTCTGTCAAAACTTCCGAATTACTTAAGCTAAAGTAAAAGATTTAGTATATATTCACTGTATGTTAATAAAGTAATCAGAGTGGAATAAAAATAGATTATAAAATTTACGTTGATGCAACTTTTTGTCTGACTGCACAACATGTAATGGAAGAGAAAGCTTGTAGAGATCTGTTTTTGACATGCCTCTAAAAGTAGATGTCATACTCCTTTTGTCTCTTCAATGTCAAAAAACTTTTCTTTGAGAGGCAACTTTAGTTTTTGGGAAAGAAAAACAATCACAAGAAGACAAATTTGAAGAACATGCAGGACGATTGAGTACACATACTTATTTTCGGAACACAGGCAGTTCTCCGACTGGTTATTGAATAATGAAAAGATGCATTGTCATGCAATACAAAACATTCGGAATAGGTTTTCTGACTGAAAACGTAAGATTAAAAGTCATCTGCTTAATTCACAGTCATTTACAAGTCAACTACTCGGGCAATTGTAGAATCGTTTTGATCCTGAGCTTCTAAGACAAACCTAATATCACTGGATTTAAACTTCTTTTCTTTTAATCTTCCGAGAACGTTCCTTCTTTAGCTCATATTCCAAGAATATTAAGTGAATACAATTATCGCAAAAGCAATTGAATATTCATTTGCACTACGGCTTGGTAGTTTACTAACGAATTAACAAAACTTAAATTCTGCTTTTTGTGTCTAACAATACAACAATATTTTAAATATTTAGAAATAAAATATTAAAATGGAGATTTAATTGGAGCCTCACCAGTTGCCTAGCATTTGAAGATTGTTAAATACTAATTGTTTGTTGCGAAGTCTAACCCAGGCTGCATGGTTGGTTTTCGTAGTTTTCTAGGTTTTCTTTACAAAGGTTCTCTATGAAAGCATCTTAATCAAATAGCTCCCATGTTCTTTCTATGTTCAAATAACCAACTAACCTACTTTAAGTGCGATTTCTAAGTAAAAGTTACTAGCAAAACTCGAATACTCATTAAAAATCATGTAGCTTGCCAATCGGGAGTAACATGAAAGATGCGGCGCCAATAATTGAATTGCTGCTACGGTACGCTGTTTTTAAACTTAGATGGTCGTTCCTTAATTAAATAGCCCACCGTAAAGACGCTGAACACTGGTAGTTCGGTTCGAGGTTCGAATCCCGCGAACGGGCTGGCTGCATGGGCGTTTTCGTGGTTTTCCCCATGTGTAACGTGTATACGAGCCAGTTTCCCTTAGAAAGTCCTCCACGAAGGAATCCCTCCCTTTAGGCAGATAACCCTCGTGTGCTTTGCGATAATTAAATAATGCAATTCAATCCAATCCAATCCTTAATTAAATGTAATTGATTTGTAACTTCTGCTAGAGCTGAAGGTTAGAATTGAAGTGTAAATAAATAATATCATGTGCAATATTTGCAATTTATAAGAAGGATTTATTAATAACCGTAATAATTACTTATTATATTACTAATGATTAAGATTCAGTTCTTGACAATTACATTCTAAATTAGAATTTTAAGAATATAATGAAAATACGCTATGCACAAAAATACATTTTAAGATAAAAAAATGAGTTGATTTTTTATGTTTTAAAACTTCTTGAATTCATTTAATAAACATCGTATCGTCGTTGTTAATTGAATCCAGAATGTTGGGTGTCATTTATATAATTATTCTTACTTGTTCACATAATCTGCTGACTTATCCAGCCATTAAGTAGCTGCAGATCATTTCTACACAATCACCAAGCTTCCATTAATTCAGTCTCTAGAGGGTTGTATGTTTATATCATAATTTGACTTTTATAAAAATGATTATTCTAAATCTTATGTTTCTATAAAAATATACTGTGCTTTAAAAATATGTATCAGCCACTCTTTCAGCCACTTCAAAAGCAACAGTTTGTTTTTAGAAATAAATTATGCAGTTACTGTGATAAAATTCAAATAAACATCAAAAAAAAATTCTCAGTTTTAGACAATTCGATTTAAACAAAGTAAAGCAGCAGACGATAAAACGCCGAAGGTAAAAATTTTCTCATACAAAAATTTACTCTTTTTTTTTTTTTTTTTTTAAGTTATAGAGAAATTAAAAAAAAAATAGTTAAAAATTTGAATAATATCATCGATAATTTAAAACACATAGCTTTAAATATAGAATTAATAAATATTTATTACACATCATTGAGGGGAAAAAATTTCATATAATTAATTCTCCGTAAAAATTTTACTTGAAATTTAAGGTTAAAAATAGCTGTGGCAATTCAGTGTAACAAAATCCATAGACCACATTTGGCGTTATTATCGCCCGCTCCCCCCAAAAAAAGATGCCAAATTTCAAAGCGCGAAAATATGTAAATTCGTGTATATCTTAGAAAATTTTGAATAAAAAAGCCTAAATTTTTTGCAGGATATGCTTAGAAATACACCTACTTTAAGATGATGGTAAAAATTTTTATAGGTTATAATTCAAAATTTTTTTTTCGAAAAATTTATAAAAATTATTTAAAAAATGCAAATAGAAATTTTAAAAATAAACACAAAAAATGGGTAAATTTTATTTGGAATGAACCTAAATTTCGAAATGTGAGAGAAAAAATCAAAAAAGTTTAATAAAAAAAGAGATATTAATAAATATTTGCCAAATTCAATTAACATTGAGGAGCTAAAATTTTGAGAGCTAATATTTTAAAAACTACTCGTATGATTTTTACAAAACTTGGTATTCTGGCATGCATAATTTGAGTCGTAGAATCGAAATATGGAAAAAAATTGGTATGTTATTTCAGAAAAAGTCCAATTTTGTGTCAAAATACTTATGTTAGAATAGTGCTATATATAAATCTAATATATATCCTAAGTCGCGCTTTCGAGACATGAAAAACGCAGGTTGAATTTTGTCAATCGGCCCAGTAGAACGGGAGATATAGCACTGTCCCATTTTTTTTTTTTTTTTGGAGCAGTGTACATTCCTAAGACTTGACATGCGCACCACAGACATAGCTCTGATAAAAATGCAGAATACTAGCGGAACACGTAATGCTTCATTATGACTAGCAAAGAAGGATAGCGTTCTGCTCAGTAAGCTTTTTGATCAGACCAGTGTCTCGGCGTTAACAGCTACCAGGAAGTTCTGGATATTAAAAGGCATAATATGTAAGTGTTCATGGAGCATTCAGCTCCATGACCACTTACAACCTGCGGAAAATTATAGGTAAATTCGAAGAGACTGGTTTGTTTGACGTGAAACAAGGTAGAGGACAAAAGCTAGTTTCGGCGGCTGCAGTGGAAGATGTGGCCACAACGTTACAAGAATAGATGAGTAGTGATGCAGGAATCAGCAGTGCATGGGATGGACAAATATTGGATATGTCTATCATCTTGGTGCATAGTGTCCTACGGAACATCTTGCCCTGTTGTTGGTGCAAAATACTCATGTGCAGCAATTGCTCCTTGCTGACCTAGAAACACGTGAATCACTTGCACAATGATTTCTTACCCAGATGGAAGTGGGAAATGGATGGCCAGGGAACATTCTGTGGTCTGGCAAAGCCCATTTCCATTTGCAAAGTTCTGTAAATACGCAAAATTGTGGGCTATCAGTGATTTAGAATCCGTTCCAGATACAGCCATTACCTCTTCGGTCTAGAAAGGTCACTGTGTGGTGAAGAATAATGGTCCGCATTCAATTTGTCATTGGTCAGTTCTTCTTCAAGTTCACACCTGTGGGTCCCATTAACTGCACCATTACTGTTAAGCAGTATGAAGCACTTTTGCTTAACTATGTCCTTCCGGCAATTCAGCAGCTTAAGTGTGTGGATTGCATAATAGTCGTGCAAGATGGCAGTCCTCCAGACATTGCTACTTGTGTGAAGCAGCTGTTGATCACTCATAAAATCATATACCACCATTTCCCAACAGAATGGCGACCACTTTACCCCGACTAAACCCGTATGAATTTTGGCTTTGGGGATACCTGAGAAATGTTGTTTACAGTGGGGGAGTTGGGAATCTGGCCGACTTGAAGGCAGGGATCACACACCACATTCATAGCGTCAGCACAGATACCCTCCAAACTGTTGTGGAACATGCCGTTTTGCTCTTTCAACTAGTAGCGGAACAAGGCGGAGGCTATATTGAACAACTTTGCGTAATCATCCATAAGGTATTTGTTTCATAAAGCTGCTCTTTTTCTTTTGTCACTATCATTGTTTTCACTGTAAACACGTCTTTTCGCTGTCATAAACCCTTGGAGTCATATCTTTTCTTTTGGCTAACAATATTCCCATGTTTAACGAATCCAATTAGGACTTACCCCTGATAGCGTCATCTAGCAGCACATTTTGGAACTTTTTTTTTTGCCTTCACCAAACAAAATTCCATTGCCTCATGATGGTTCTGGTAAAGTATCAAGTCATTCTGACTGGTAGTTTTAAAATTAGAGCATTTTGGAATCGTGACTTTATTTGTAATCACCCTGTACTTACAAATATGTGTTTTTACATTCTATTTAAAATAAATATTTGAGATAATTTCTTGCATATTTTATGTGAGGATGATGCATTTTTATGTTAATTTGTTTAGTGGTCTCACAGTTTAGACAAACCAGAAACACAAAGCATTTTTTGCTTAGAATGGTCATCTGATGGTACACAAGTTGCTGGAAGTTGTGGTAATGGTCATGTTATTTTTGCACATGTTGTTGAAAGGTATTTACTATTCTTTTTTGAATTACATGTAACTGCCAAACTTGCATATTTAATTATTCATTTTGTGCCAACTTTACTTCTATAATTTTTTATTTTCTTATTATGGGCGATCATTATGTTGACACTACATTCATTCTTTTAATTGCAAGTTATACATAAACATAAAATTTAATAAATAATAAAATTTTAATTTAAAGTCAAGACTGATTGTTGTGACAGTTCCACTGCAATCACTGGTACATGATATCTTCAACTGATAGAGTATATTAAATCAGCAACTGCTTGTTATAACACCTTTTTTCTTTAAAACATGAGGGGTCTTTTTAACAAATGACAGCTGTATACAAAGTTCACTTCTGTTTTTTTTTTTTTTTTTTTTTTTTTTTCGGGGGGCGAGAGGGAAAGGCTATGAAATAATTTTTATTTGTTAGCTTCTTTTGCTTCAACTAAGCTTTATCCAGTCAGAAACGTTCTTTTCCTTATGTTAATTAATTTATATAAAATCTGTTTTTCTTCCCTCCCCTTCCTCCTTCATTTTTCCTTTTCTGACAAGAAAAATACTCAATTAAAAATTTTAATTATGGTTCCTTTTTGTATTAAGTGCAAATAATAAACTTTTTTTAGGAGAGTAAAAATCTTTTACAAAGAAATGTTGTTTTAAAAACTTGGAAAGGGTGCAAATTGGTATATTTTAATTGTCATTGCTGTATTTAGTCAAAAATAAGACTTCATTGAAAATCCCTTTAATTTGAAACCCAGCATAAATTTTAGATTAAATTTTGAGGGTGCAAATTGGTATATTTTAATTGTTATTGCTGTATTTACTCAAAAATAAGACTTTATTGAAAATCCCTTTAATTTGAAACCAGCATAAATTTTAGATTAAATTTTAAGAAATAAAAGTGTAGGTGAATATTTATTTTGTCTTGCAATAATTCTGAGAAAGTTAACCAGTTTCCATCCTCCATACTTTGGAATTTCTGTGAAATGACAATACTCTTAGATATGCCACAAAGACATTGTTATGTGATACATTGTTACTTATTTGTTTTCAGACTTGCTAGTGACCACAGATGTGGCCTAAATTGAAACCAGTGAACTAGACATGGTTAATATAATTAGCAGTATTTATACAACTTGTATATAAATATGGTAACTACCCATGTTTTATTTGGTGTGTAAACTGCATAATTTTTCTATATAGTACAATGATTAAACTCTCTTCTCTCATTCTAAAATTTCATTTATCAAAATGCCCATACAAACACCTACCAAATTTTGTAGCAAATCAAAGGTCTTATTTTTAAGTAATTATGGTAATTCTTTTGTCATTCTTTGTTGTCTAATTTTATAATAATGCCTGTCAGGATAATTTTAAAAAATGTTATTAAAATCTGGTGAATTTCCAGTAATTAATCAATTTTTTCTTAGGCGTTTAGAATGGAAGCATTTTGAAGCTACAGTGCGGGGAAGAAAAACAATTGCTGTACAAAATGTTAGCAATGATTTAATGGAAAATCTGGACTTTCGAGATAATATCATCAAAGTTTCTTTTGAATATAACCACTTAATTGTTGTAACGTCTACACAGTGTTATATTTATAGGTAAGTTAGTATTTTTTCTGACATAAAGTAGTTTTTACCCCCTTGATATTAAGAAGTATTTTTACAGAACATAGAGTTACATATAAGGAATTTTCTGTGTATTAAAATAATTTTTGTACAAAACTCAGTTTCCTGTTTATAACATTATTAGAGCCTCTAGAAATGAAATAACATCCTTCAGTCACCATTACACTTATATTACCCACTATATTAAATGTTACAAATATCTTTTTATTATTTCTATTATCGTATTATTATTTTTATTATTGTATTATTATTTATTGTATTATTATTAACACATAGTTCTTACACACAGCCAATAACCTATGAAAATAGTACAACTATCAATCAATTGAGAGGAAGAGATGTACTGCATAGTGAAAAAGAGGATGTTTACTCCTCCTCTGAAGGCATGACCTCAGACTTTAACAAAATCTGATGTGGATACCACATGGGTTCCTTCTACAGCCTATTACATTATACACATTTTTGGCTGCATTTCATTTAAAATTATTTCCTCAAATTTCATTAGAGATACATTTATCATTCAATTAATTTAACCCTGACTTCGTGGCAAGGCAAAAATACATAAAAACTCAAATCTTCATTAAAAATTGTAAAATACAGAAAAGTATGAAACACCAAATAGTCAACCAGTTTAAAAAATTTTTTATAATTAAAATTAGAGTTTCTATGCAAAAACAAGCAATTTGGCCAGTGCACAAGAAGGCAGATATTTGATAGCACAAAACTGAAAGTTTAGTTATGGTCTCACTCTGCAAAAAGACACTGAAGGTGCAGAAACAGACTTAATTCACTATTCTACCTAAGAGTTTCAAATGTAAACAAATGGCGGCTATGTTAGTCTTAATAGCACTTAAACAACTTTTAAATTGTTCATAATTCTACATCTATTGCATGCAGATTAATTAAAGGCATAAAAACCTTAACCAGAACATAAGCACAACTTAATTCCATCACTTTTCAAGCAAAAAAATATAAAATTTACCAACATATAAGAATAAAAATATTGAGCTCAGCGAGCCGGGATATATATGTATATTTATTTATTTATATACTTTTAGGGTGACCAATTGGAACCAAAAAGAGAGATGCACATCTACATGTTATAACAGTGCCATGTACAAAATTCAACGTTCTAAGGCTACTTGTTTTTGAGTTATGCGAGATACATATATACATACGTATGTATGCACAGATGCTACAAAAAAATCTCTTCTGAATCCATTTTACAATCCATTTTGGGGAAAAGAGTTCTTTATTGTGTCAGTACGTAGAGATGTCACACAAAAACATCGCTTAAATGGTGTGCCCAAATTGAATATTTTCATTGAAATATGATACCCAAAATTTTTCGTAATTACAATACTTGCTTTTCTTAGTACAAGGAAATAAAACCTACTACAGTGTGAAGGAGCAAAAGTTAAAGCGTGAAGTGGCATTTAATAATTTTTGATTTATTGATCTCTGAGGAAGATAAAAACTGTGAGTAGACTATGTTTAAATGTATTTGCATATTTATTTATTTATTTATTTATTTTTTTAAAGTTAATAATTTTCGATTTACTGATGACTGAGGAAGATCATTCTGCCAAGAAGAGACATTTTACCATGCATTCAAATATACAAATATTGTCATGAAATACACATAAATTAAAGCATTTGGAGGTGTAGCATAAAAGCTGCAAACAAAAGAAAGGCATTCATCTCAACAACTGGTTTAGTGGCTGCAGAATATCATATGTAATAAATAATTCTACAGTTTATTTACTTCAGGGCAGAGGAATTGATGTCAATTCAGTGGTGGAAGAAACAACTCAAACTTTTGAAAGTATGTTTCCCAACTGGGGCAGTTTCACAAAAGATATATGTTCTCTCCATTTAATTTGAAAACTAAATAAGCAAATAGGGTGGCCTAGGAAAATTTTAAGAAATACACAAAAGTATGTATCTAGTTAAAAAACAATACCAGCAAGAATCTTCCATAATAGTGTATATTTAGTGGGTTATGCCAAGAAATTGTTGAGTGCTTTCTTGTTCAAGTTCTGAATAGAGAGGCAACTATACTCATGAGAAAAATCATGGATCATGTACAAGAGGGATTGATGATTTATTCAGACTGTTGACAAGCATCAAAATAGCATTGCAAAAGGCCGAGAACACTCCACTGGCAATCCTGAATTCCATTTTGTGGATATGGAAACAGCTGCCCATTTACAAAATGTTAAAAGGCAAGGGCTACATTAAATAGCAAAATAAAAAGCAACATTACCATTTTGAGTCATATCTTGCAGAAGTACTTAGTAATGAAGTAAATGGCATAGTAAGAGAATGCTTTTGATGCCATATTAAAAGCAGCTGTGGTAGTGTAACAGCCAAGAATTGTATGTGAAAACTAAAGATGAACTTGGCAATAATCTTGTTATTGTTATGATGGGGGCTGTGGAAATGGAAAAGTACCTTATTACTTTTTTTATTAATTCTGTATTTTATGGTTCTCGTTTTCATGCATGTATTCAATGCTGTACTTCAAATTTCATTTCCCAATTCTTTAACAAATATTCATGTTTAGTCATTTTTTGTCACTTTTAATTCATTCATTAGTCAGTATGAATTATTTATTTATAAAATCTGAAGTATAAATTTACTAATTATTAATTAAAATATATTTTTTAGTACCAAAAACTGGAACACACCACTTATTTTTGATTTGAAAGAAGGAAATGTTTCTCTTGTTGTTCAAGCTGAAAAGTAAGATTTTTTTTAAAGATAGCTACTTTAAAACTGTGATAACCATTGATAAAGTATTGTAGTTATGTAATGAAATAAGAAATTTTAATTAATAATAACAATGGAAGAAATATATATAAAGTCCAGATTCATTGGGACTTCCTGATGCGATTCCAGATTTGGGATTTTTCCAGATATTAAATCATCAGTTTAAATCTAGTAAGATGGCATGTATAAATTATGAAATTAAAAATAGAAAATAGTGATTTATGAAATAATAAAGTATTTACGACCTTAGAGAATCAACATTTACAAAAAAAGCTCAGTATTTATTTGATTGCTTTATTAAACATTTATGTTCTCTACTACAATGATATTTGCTGGATTTGGAATAGTACTACAGATTCTCTCATCTGTTAGTTGATGGATGATTGAGACATTGTCATCATGATGAAAAACTTCTGTTATATCATCTTCATTTATTACTATTTATCCACATTTCTTCACAAATTCCATTAATTGAAAAATTTTGCATTTTGTTTACAATATCTGAAAATCTTCAAATTTGTGGTTATTATCACAAAGTTTAGCAAGCATCTGCTATACACAATTGGCCAGTATCATGAGAATGACTGCTAAAGACATATTGTTTTGCTAAATTCTGTCTTGTTTCTATTGCACACTGATGGAGTTAAGCCTGAATCATATTAGTTTACTTATTTATCTGGTTGTAATGAAAGTTTTCAACCAAAAAACGTTCTTAATAAAATTTGGGGGTAAAAAAACATGAAAGTGATACCTTTAGTGTGGGTAGTAATCACCACCCAAATCTATGATATTTTTGCCAACATTTTGGTAGTTTTTCAAAGCCTTCGGCCCACAAACTTGGTGGCAGCGAGTCCAAAAAGTCAAAAACAAGTCAAACTCACTTCGACCATCCTGTGCAGAATGGAAGATAGCACCAGCAAGATGTAGCTGCAGATGTGAAAAAGGCAGAAGACTGAAGGGATGATGTCAGGGCTATATGGTGGGTGTGGCAAAAGATTCGATTTGAGTTCATACAGAGTCCAGCTAGTGAATGTAGACAAATGTGTCATGCATTATCTTGATGGAATGTTACCTTTTTGTACCGGAACTTAGTTCAACATTTTCCTTTGGTAGCAGCATCTCACTGTACCCTTACTGTCGAGGGTTTTACCTTTTTCCAGATACTCTTTGTGGTAACACTATGGCAATTCCACCAGATACAAAGATCTTTTTATTAGTTAAATTGTGTTTTGTGACACTGCCAACAGGCTCACTGGGTGCAGCCCAACCCCTTTTTTGGCCTATGTTGTTGAAGTAAATCTTTTTATTTATCACAAATGATGATCTGCTCCAAAATTTTGTCCTCATGTTGATGTCTAAGCAGATTAGTGCAGACCTGAAACATGTCTATCCTTACCTGCTTGAGTCAGCTCGTGAGGCACCGAGTGATTGAACTTGTTCACCAAGTTTATACGATGCATAGCGCAACTAATCGAGAAGGCACTAATGTTTAACAGCTTAGCAAGCTGTCAAGTGGTTGCATGCTGATTTTCTTCCAGAAGTTCTCGCAGGCAGGTGTCATCAACATTAGTAGGCCGTCCAGAGCGCTCTGCTTCTTGAATGTCATAGTCCTTGTTTTTGAACTTTTGGTACCAAATCTTCACAGTGTCATATGATACAACATTAGTGCCTAAAGCTGTATGCATTAGTGACATTGTGTAGCTGACTTTTTACAATAGAACTGGAAGTAAGTGATGGCTCTAATCTGGTAGTGTGATACTTCTATTTCAGACTCCTTGTATTTAGATAATGATATTTGTTTACACATTTCACAATATAGTGTTCTAAAGCAAGTCTGATTCTTTCAAATGCCAAAAATCGTTCGACAAAATATGATTAAACACGCAAACTGTTTGCACAGACGATATTTGCAATGGCAGAAAAATTTCGTTAAAACTTGATGTTGTTCTGATGATTGTTTCCCACATAAGCTTTAAGCTCATCTGAGTCTCAAATAAATAAATTCTCACATATACTTAAGTTTTATCCAGGGCCTGTGCTTGAAATAGCCAAGTGCATTCTCTGCAGGTTTGAAATTCTGCTGCCAATTGCCTCTCTAAATTCTAAAAATTTTGTATCATTGTGCCTTTCCTAAACTCTAAGATTCTGCATCCTTGTGCTTTCCTAAACTCTAAGATTTTTTCGTCCCTTAATTTTGTTACTCAATGCTTCTCTAAATTTTAAAAGTTTTGCTTCTCTTTAATTCTGCTGCCCAGTGCAGCCATGGCACCGTTCTTGGGTGAAACTGAATAACAAATCAGTTATTCTCAATTCACATAGCAATAAATGTAATATTTCCTCCTATGAGTAAGTATCATTTACAAAATCTATTTTTGAATATGGAAAGAAATTTCTCCTCATATACACACTCAACACCTCACAGCAATAAAAACCAAAATTTGTAATTGTCATGTGGTGATGAAAACAAAAAGTAATAAATAATCATTTGCAGATTGGCATCAGTAAAGTGAAATGAATGGTGTGAAATGAATATGGTAAAGTGAAATGAATCTCCTTATGCTTTGGTATAACAAAGTAATAGATGCACCAGCATAATGCATAAAAAAAATTAAATAATAAAGTTGCTGTTGATCCATAGGCCCAGATTTTAAACCATGCCGGATATTAAATGGCCAGATTTCAGACTTTGTACTTCAAAGTGTCTGTGCTAAATTGAATAATTTAAATATTGTGAAATTTGTTTTCATTTAAATTCCCATTTAATCAATTTCAGTAAAAATCGAAAAGATTTTGTAATGTATCCAAGATTTTGTTGTTATAAATGTGCAAAAAACACAGTACTTCCAGATTATACTAAAATACAAATTTAGGTAATATAATTCTCCCCAGTCCTTTCAGTTTTTTCTTTTTGTACATGTAAAAGTTTATTTAAAAAAATAGATAAATATTGCATAGTATGTACATAATATGACATTTTAAAATAAGGGCATTACCCAGTTTATCATAATTTGTGTAATCATTGATGAAATGAAATTTCATTATAGGTTTCAGCTTTAATTATTCAAATAATTTTAGTTCTGTTCCTTTGAATTAAAATTTCTGTACAAATTATGTGTTTTCCATTTATTAGTATAGTGATTACATTTTGTAATTATTATTATTGTTGTATTTTACATTTGCTCAAATATTCTGGTGTTTTTTTAAGTGTATAAAATGTACTATACATATTTGATTAATGTTATACCTTTTACATTTCTTCTGATTTTATATACTGCATTATAATTAATGTTATATATTTAAGTTAACAACTTTTTCTTTATTTAGGCATTTTTTGTTTGTTGATGGTCAAGGTTTGTACATATATAATTATGAGGGTCGCCCTGTAAGCACACCTAAGTGGCCTGGAATGCGTACAGATTATCTCAATGAATCAACAGTAACACTGAGTAATGACTCTGTAGCTATAAGAAATAAAGGAGATGAAAAAGGTATAATTTTTATTGGCTAATTTAAAAAGGTATAACTTTTAATTTGATAGTTTAAACTAGTTTTTTTTTTTTTTTATTATTATTATGAAACATGGTTTACCTTCTTTAGCAATTTTATAACAGTAATTTTCACCAATTTCATAATATGGTGAATAACTATAATTTTTGTTTTCATGTGAATTATTTCATTCTTTTCTTTGAAAGTTGTTCACATTTTTGATGTTGTGACTGGGAAGTACATTCCTGATGGAAAACCATTTGCTCACAAAGTAAGAATTGTTAACTTTTTAAACAATTTTTCAAAAATAAAGTGTAAATTCTTTAAAATCCTAGGCACTAGAATTGTTAGGTTATGCTGCTTTATAGTATTTTAATCACTTTTTAATTTAAATTTTAAATTTCTTCTTCCATTCTGTCTTTTTCATGTTCTTCTTACTTTTCATCTCCTTCTTTTTCTCCCTTTTGTTCATTATTTATTCATTACTATTATTTTTATTTTAATACTTTACTATTACAGTCAAATACCGAAAATCCGCTAACCTGAAATCCGCCAACTGCTGAAATCTGCGTTGCCTCTCAGAATATAAACATTCATTTTGTGGGTTCTGGAAACCGCAATATTGAGTACTAAATATCGAAGAAAAAAATACTTACCAAATAATGACGTCATAATTACTGAATAATAATGAGTCAAAACGGAAATACCAAGTTATTGACATAAAAAAGTTAAAAAAATAAGATAAATAAGTCTTTTTTTTCCCCTCTAATCTGCATCGAGGTAAAAAAGCAGACGATTAACTCAACTCTTTGTTCAAGTTCACGATTCATGTTGTATTTTCTTTGTTATTTCATTTCACGAAATTGTTTAGTGCTGCCTTTTTTTTTTAAATCTGGATATATGCGGATAAGTTAAGAATATTTTAAATTTCAGCCCTTTTTAATACAATGACAGATAAGAAGTGCACTCGTGATTTTACTGCTTGCAAAGTTGAAAAACGTAAACACGTTGCATTGACGGTAACGCAAAAAGTGCAAATTCTGCAAAAGATGGAAGCAGGTGCTACTCCTCGATTTATAGCAGAATGGTATGGAATTGCCACACGATTGTATGATATACGGTAAGAAAATGAATTTTACAGCAACATTTCAACAATCTGAAACCGAAGTCTTGCATAGGCAAATCGGCAAACTCGATGGTTACATATATACAATGAATAATACAGTCAAAGTCTTTAATCCGGATTCGTCGGGACTTCGGCGATTCCGGATTATAGATCATCAGTTTAAATCTGGTAAGATGGCATGCATGCAAAATTATAAATTAAAAATATGAAACCGTAATTTATGAAATAAAGAACAATTATGATCTAAAGGGTATCAAAATTTGCAAAAAAAAAAAAAAAGCTTAATATTTATTTGTTTACTTTATTAAACATTTCTTTCAATGCAAGCGCATGCGTAAAGCATACATTACGCATAGTCGAAATTAGAAAATTGCAACCAGCAAAAACTATTTGATGTGTATTCGTGATATTTATAATGACAAGGAATTTGATTTAAATCATATCAAAGACGGAATACATCGAGATGAAATACTACATTTAGTAAGGAATTATAAGCCGAATAAAATAAAAACATCTGCCCTGAAGATAAGGATAGTGCTGACAGATCAACTTCCAGTTCATTGCGCGCGCGATGTCCCCCCCCCCCGCAGAGCAGCGTGAAATTGATAAACAGATTTCGGAATGGTTAAGAAACAAAGGATATGCCTTTTATCCATTTTTTGCAGCAATTCCACTTTTTGTTTGATGGACATCGAAACATGCTTTAGCTTTGTAGATCCTTTGGCATCCAGATATCGGAAATTCTTTTGACATAATCGAAAGTTCAAGCTTACTTTTATAAAATTGCTCTAACAGTCTGCAAAAAATAATAAGCCGGATCCAATTCGAAGATTAAGGAACAATGCAATTTGCAACATTAACTGAAATAGATAATTAGATAATTTTAGCTTAGTTTATACTGTCTGTTATACATTAAACGCGCATGCGTAAAGGCATATGCACAGAAAGTTTGTAGCTTTGAGGTCCGGATAATAGATCATTCCGGATTATGGACGTCCGGATTAACGACTTTTGACTGTATAATCAATTTATATATGTAATAATAATTTAATGCATATAATAAATTATTGCAATAATGTATATAATAATTTAATTAAATGTATCTAATACGCCTTATTCATTTTGTACTTTTAGTCCGAATATTATGCTTTGTCTTTTCTGTCCTGAAATCCGTAAAATCCTAAAATCTGCACAACCTCTGGTCCCAAGCTTTACGGATTTCTGGAATTCTACTGTATTACTAAATATTATACAAATTACTGAACTGTACAAACCTAGATATTAAACAGTATTTATTAAAACAGTTATTCCACTGAACAACCTACTTTTGGTTTCCATTTCACAGAAACATATGTATGCTGTGCAGAGAATAATTTCTTCTGTCTCAAGATTATTGTGGGATTTGAGTGGCTTCCACTAGTACAGGTTTTTCTTCAGTGGGATAAAAGTGAGGATTATAAAAAGTTTCCAGATAAAATTGCATCAGAAATTTATTGCATACTTAGTGGTACAGAGAAAAGTACTGTTATGCAATAGAACAGTTTCTTTACTCAATATCTTTGGTTTGTCTTTTATATCACAAACTGTAAACATTTTGGTCTTTTGCAGATTCTTACAGATTGCTCACCTTCAGAACAGTTGTTTATTGTGGCTCTCAACTCCTCTTTTTGTAAAGTCACTAATTTGAAATATAATTTTTATATAACTTTGAGTGCTCCAATATGAATCCAAAGTACAAAAATTATTTGGAAAAAGCCATATTTGGCTTTTTTCAGACTGCAGTAGTACTACCCTCCTTCCAAATCTGTGAACAATATTCTTTACATTTGACAGTGAAGTTTTATAATATACCACATTTCCATATCATTAAATGTATGACAACTGTGCAATTCAGTAATTTTAAATGGTCTTCATATGTAAAATGGCATATTTTCTTCAGACACAGGACATCTGCAAAGCTTTAGGACTGAATTCACAAGAAAGAAAATGTTTGAGTAAAATAGTTTTATTGCTATTTAACTTTCTATATGCATTCTTTGTAACACTACTTACATCTTGACTTATTCAAATAACTTTAGGATACTTCTGTAAAAACTAATTCATGGAATGTTTTCTTCAGTGGGTTTGTAACAGTTTTTTTGTTGTACTTTTGTGAAATTCTCTCAAAATAAGATCTTTTAATGGTGAATTCCACTTAAGTGAACAGAAAATAACCTGCAAGGTGTCATGAAGTCTAGTCTATCACTTCTTTGTAGAACATGGAATCAATTTTTTTACTCTTTAAAGAAGAACTTGTAAACCATTTCCTGCCAACCAAGAACATCCCCAGCTATTCTTTATCTGAAGTTAATAAATGCAAAGTTTGTAATTTTTCTTGTACTCATGCAGTTATTTGTTTCTGACATATCGGGTTTTAAATAAAAAATTGGTATTCATCACTTGTAGTAATTTTTTTAAAGATTCAGAGTTGCTATCTGCCATTTCAATCTAATTCTTTTCTATTTGAAGCCCAAAAGCGACCAAGCAGTAAAGTTGCTGAATACTGGTAGTTAGGTCCGAGGTTTTAATCCTGCAAGCAGGCTGGCTGCATGAGCTTTTTCGTGGTTTTCCCCATGTGTAATGTGTATACAAGCCAGTTTCCCTTAGAACATCCTCCACGAAAGCATTTCTACCCTTAGGCAGATAGCCCTTGAGGCTTTGTTATAATCACAAAAACCAAACTTTTCTTTTTGAGCGTGTTCTTTCCTATTGCTTTTCTTAGCCTTTCTGTCCATTCAAGTACATATCAGATCATAAATTCAAATAAAAATTTCCATTTGAGATATCATCCATGCACAGATATTTTAAATGGGAAAAGCTGAAATGTATTAATAATCACCGCTGCTAGTTATTTTCAACCTTGGCTCATATCTCAGTGAACTGGCTTAGCTGCATGGAAGTTTTCATGTTATGTGTAACAATGAATACAAATAAGTTTCCAATAAAAAGTCTTCCACTTTCCATAAAAGGTATGTCTGTCATTAGGCAAGTATTGGATGCCTATGATTTCACTTTAACAACAAATGTCTCATTAGCAATAATCAGTGCGGCTTCAAACAACAGTCTTCAACCATCCACACAATCCAAAGCAGTTGTAAACCAAGTTCCACCATACCAAATGCCATTAACTTTGCAATACTTAGCCTATATCTCCAACATGCTTTCGACTCACTGTGGTGGCCCTCTATTCTCCATGCCTTATGGAACATCAGTCTTCCAAACAATCTTTTCAACATTATAAATGACTTAAGCAATTGCTATAGCATTATCTTATAATATCCTCATTTCTTTCAAAAGCAAGCAGGGGAATGCCCTCAGGAGTCTTGCATGAGAGCAGACCTCTGGAACATTGCTTTCAGTGAAATAATTAATCAAAACCGGCCATCCCACTAAAAAACAAGTGCATTTGCTGATGACATCACATTTGTTGTGAACAGCTGCTCGCATGCTTTACTCCAAGAAAACTGCAGAACCACAATTTATTACCAAATAAGTCTTTCTGAAAATCTATGATGGAAGAATTAGAAACATAAAAACTATAAAATACCTAGAAATTCACATTGGCCGAAAGCAAAATTTTGTCCATCGTCTCAAGATCAAAGCATGCACTTACCAAATAGGACTCAGTTTAAGACAAATGCATGGATACAAGTGAGGCTTGAGGCCCCCATATTACAAAATTTTTATATAACACTGTAATCACCAAAACAATGACTTAGGGTGCTGCCATTTGGGCCATACCTGCGATTGAATACAAAAAGAGAATTCTGACTTCAATTCAAAAACAGTCTACTTTATGCATAACATATGGATTTCATACAACTTCAGTTGCTGCACGTAACATTCTAGATGGAGCAACCGCTCTACGTCTACAAGCAATAGATGAAGCTATTTATACAACAGTCATGCAGTTAAAACAGAGCATTTCTTTTAATCACCATCTTTATAAGATTGGGGGTCATCCCTCTCCCTACAACAGAACATCCTGCTGTCTCGCATACAAGGATAAAATTACAGCAAGAAACAGCAGAGTCTATCAACAACAAAACCACAGCATTTATGGATGGCTTCAAAATACAGCATGTTTCAAAAAGAATATACGCATTTCGAATGCATATGTTTATTAAACTGTATAACATACGAATATGAAACTTTACACACATATGTACAAACCTCTCAAGTTCAGATTACAGATGTTCAATATGTCCTCCATCAGCGACATGAACAATATCACATCGATACTCAAATTCCTTCCAAACTCGGGCAAGCATGTCAGTCGTCACTGATGTTATGGCAGTACAGATCTGGTTCTTAACCTCTTCCAGGTACTGTGGGTGTGGTAGTACATAAACGTTGTCTTTAATGAAACCCCACAGGAAGAAGTCACAGGGTGTCAAATCTAGTGACCATGGAGGCCAGCTAAGACATGCTAAGTCGTCAGCTCCTTGACGACCAATCCAATGGTCAGTAGAATTCCATTCAGATAACCACACATTTGGCGACACCAGTGAGGGGGTGCCCCATCTTGTTGAAAAATGAAGTTGTCTTTGTACAGCCTCAGAAACAAACAGTTTTGTAACATAGCGAGATACTGCTGAACATTAACCGCGTTTCCATCGAAGAAGAATGGGCGGTAAACAGATAATCGGTATATCGCACAAAACACATTGATTTTGGGCAAATCTCGTACATTTTCAATGGCTGCATGTGGGTTCTGTAGGCCCCAAATTCGAACATTGTGTTTGTTTATATGACCACTAACAGGAAAAGTCGCTTCACTACTAAACATGATGCATTGTGCGAAAGTGTTATCGTTGTTAATAGCAGCAATAATCTCGTTACAAAATGTCACACGTTTGCGTTTGTCATCAGGATGCAGAGCCTGTAACAAATGTAATTTGTACGGCTTCATAACCAACCAGCAATTTGGTGTGTTTGGCTCAAAAACACGCCAAATTGTTGTTGTAGGCAGTTGTAACTCCCGACTGGCTCGTCAAGTTGATTTTGAAGGCCTGCGTTGGAAAGCAGTTTGAATTCATGCAACATTTTCGTGGGGAACATGAGGGTGGCCAGGACTTTTTCTTTTACATACACATCCTGTATTTACAAATTGTTGATACCATCTGCGAATGTTCCATTCATTTGGGAGAATCACTTTGGTATCTCAACTTGAAACATCTTTGCACTGTAATCACGGAATTGCACTTCGCAAACTCGAGAACACAAAATGATTTCTGCTGCAGAGTAGCCATTTTAAACATGTGACAGTTATCACACAAAACAGAAGACAACTGACATCTAGCGGCTATTAATATAAACTAGACTATGTATTCATTTCGCCAATAGCTGAGCTGAGGCGCAGTGATCAATAGTTTGGACAAAATAACACTTTGTAATACATATATTCTGTTTGAAACATGGTGTAGAAAGAAAAGTTGGATGTGCAGTCTACATCCCTATAGAAAAAAACCTCAAAAATTGTATAAAATAATTGTATAAAATGGTAAGGATACCTAAAAAACAGTAACAGCATTCATGAGGCAGACTTTCACAATAAAAGCTGCATTGAAAATAGCAAATGCCCAGGGAACCCCCCATATAAATTGAATATAAATCCCCCCTATAAATTAGAAATTTGTCCAAATAAACATGTACTATGGCACACATCTTATAGTAAATACCCAACTGTGATATCAAAGAAGTGTCATTCCTAACAATAGCCCATCACCTCTTCCATTGAAACTCAGCAATATACTAATTGCCTCATGATGGTATTAATTCTATAGATGTTTAGTGTGATGGGGCATTCCCTGTGCAATCCATTCATGGTGAACCCTCTGATGCCCCCCTTACTTCTGCTACCTACCTACCACATACCTTAGGCAAGTAGCCTTAGTTTATTTTAGTCTAATTTAAGTAACCCAATCCAGTCTGTCATTGTTTGGTCAGTCCTGTAGTGCGTTATTGTTTTGTCAGTCTAATTGAAAAATTCAGTATTTGCACTCTTTGACTAAATGCACTTAAGAATAAATTACTCATTTCTGTATGTTTTTAAGTTTAGGATTCTGCATTTCATTTTGTAGCTATGTTTGCTTATAATTTTATAGATGGAAGTTCTTGAAGTAGCACTTGATCAGTGTGGTCCTGCAAGCAGTCGCCGCTTAGCATTTGTTGATAAAAATAGAGATTTGCATCTTCTAAACATCAGAGTTTCTCCAAATGCTGCTAAAAGAATAATGAAACTTGGTTAGTATTTTTAATCTCACACTTTCTAAATCTTTATGAAGTAATGCAGGTCATGACAGGAATTTAAAAATGATATATCTTTTGTATGTATATGAAATGTGTCAATATTCTAAGTACAGTCAAAAGTCATTAATTCGGACACCCATAATCCGGAATGATCTATACTCCAGACCTCAAACCTACAAACTTTCTGCGCATGCATCGCTTTGACACATGCGCATAGGTGTTTCGCCTGCGCGTAAAACCTTTATGGCTGCGAATATGGATGTGCGCAAGCACATAATACGTTTACGCATGCGCGTTTAATGTATAACGGACGGTATGAACTAAGCTAAAATTATCTAATTCAGTTAATGTTGCAGATTGCGTTATTCCTTAATCTTCAAATTGGATCCGGCTTATTATTTTTTGCAGACTGTTAGAGCAATTTTATAAAAGTAAGCTTGAACTTTCTACTACTATCTACAAAGCGAAAGTCGAAATCTATTTATCAATATCACGCTGCTCTGCGGCAGGGGGGGGGCAGAAACGTGGCGGCGCGCAATGAATTGGAAGTTGATCTGTCAGCACTATCCTTATCTTCAGAGCAAATGTTTTTATTTTATTTGGCTTATAATTCCTTAATGAATGTAGTATTTCATCTAGATGTACACCATCTTTGATATGATTTAAATCAAGTTCCTTGTCATTATTATTCGCTTCCGATAGTGAAGAAAGTGACAGAGAGGTTATTGAAAATGAAAACATTTCGATTGACAAATTAGTCGGTATTCTCGACACAGCAATTATAGGACTTGAACAGCGGAACTTTGTAACTAAACAAAGAAATTATGTCTGTTTAATAGAATTAAATAGAAAGTATTATCACATGAAATGAAGCAACTTAAACAACTTACATTGAAAGAAATGTTTAATAAAGTAAACAAATAAATATTAAGCTTTTTCTTTTTGTAAATTTTGATACCCTTTAGATCATAATTGTTCTTTATTTCATGAATTACGGTTTCATATTTTAATTTTGTAATTTCTGCATGCCATCTTACCAGATTTAAACTGATGATCTATAATCCGGAAAAATCGATAATCCGGAATCGCCGAAGTCCCGACGAGTCTGGATTAACGACTTTTGACTGTATATCAAAAGATAGAAACAATTTTATGTTTAAACACAAGTTTAGACATTTATCTTTATAAAACATTTGTAGTTTGTTTTATTTTAGAAGACAGAAATTATTTGTTATTGAATTAGAATTATGCATGAAATTAGTTTTTGCATATGTTAGATTGTCTGCCATGCTTTTATATCACTGCCATGGATACTTTCGTTTTCCTGTCTGCTTTAAAGTCTTTCAAAAGAATACTTAGTTACTTTTTTTGCTTATCTGTCATGCATTAAATTGAATAAATATTGTTAAAATATCTGTTTGTATAAGATCTCTTCATTTTAATTTTCTTCGCACACAAGATGTATTTTTTTAATGCTAGAAATCTGTGTATTGCATTCAAGTAATTTTTTAATAAAAATTCACACTGAATTTTTTCACTTTGATATTCTAATCTTTTAAATGTAAATAAATTAAAGAGACATAAATATTACACAAATAATTTTAAGCATTGTAACAAAAGTACAGCATTTGTTTAAATTTCTATTTATTCTTTATCAATTTATTATAATTTATTATAATAAAATAGAAGAAAGTAAGAACAAAAACTTACCTTAGTATAGCAGCAGAAGTTATTATTATTATTATTATTATTATTATTATTATTGGAAAATATTTGAGTGTACAGTTTTCTTGAGAGCATAGTTTATCTGCTGACATGTTTTAGGACACACAAACAGCTACTTCATCTATAATTTTCTTTGCTGCTTAAACAAGGTTGAAAGGATTGATTTATAAAATGACTATAAATAATTTTATAAGCAGAGGTTAAATTAGATGGAATCAAGTTAATAAGGTCTTGCATAACATAATATATATATTAATAGCAAAGAAAACATGGTTGAAAAATTCCACATTTTGAAATATCTGCTATTTTTATTAATGTTACATATATATACATATATTCTGTATAGTGTGAACTTTCTGTTTGTAAAAATTTATTGCAGATTTTCTTACCCATAGCTATGTTATCTGAAAATGTGTGTAATTATTTAGTAAATTTATGCCCCATTCATTACAGCATTTTATTCAAAATAGAAACGTCATTAGAGAACTAACTATCTTATTAATATCGTCCACCAGTGGTCGAGCGGTAAAGTCGCCGAACACTGGTAGTTCAGTCCGAGGTTCGAATCCCGCAAACGGGCTGGCTGCATGGGTGTTTTCGTGGTTTTCCCCATGTGTAACGTGTATACAAGCCAGTTTCCCTTAGAAAGTCCTCCATGAAGGCATCTCTCCCCTTAGGCAGATAGCCCTAGTGTGCTTTGCCATAATTATATACACCACCACCACCTCATTAATATCAATAGTAGATATGCTTTCAGCATCAAATTTTGTTAATACTTCTCTGGCTATAACTTTATACATTCAGATTTTTAGATGTTTGTTAGACAGATATGTGGAGCACCAAACTGCTAAGAAAGCTGTCAAAATAATTTACCTGATGATTCAATAAATGCTTCTAAGATCTTCCAGAAATGCTAGTATAGTTTGCAGAACCTTTATTCCTCCCCCCCATCATGAAGTCCATGGTTAACTACTTTAGAATGTTTTTCTTCTTTGAGGAGTTAATGATCAAGTAATACTATTTTATCATTCTTTGGGATTGTTAAATTATGAAAGCATCTTATATTTTTTTTTTGGCGGCTCCTGTTCCATTACTGTAAATTATTAAGCTGAAATATAAATGGAAGGTATGAATATGTATACGTAAATGTATAATTAATGTAGACCTATAAGAAAATTCTCTTTTACTCTCTAATTATATATTTGTGAAAGTATTTTCCTAGTGGTATAAGTTTTAAAGAATGAACTTATAATGTAAAATACACTTAGTTCATTTTGTTCCTGGTATTATTATTCACTACCTTAAGTAGTGTATCATGCTCATTTCTACCATTCCTTTGCCTTTTCCAAAGTTCTCTTCTTATACTTTTATCTTAAGTTAATCTACCAGCTAGGTATTTACATATGAGATACCAAGGTATTTCAATATTTTAAAAAGTAACTAATATGCACCAAGTGAATGTCAGTTTGAGCATGTGGAACAAATTTAATTAAAAAAAGAACTTGCTAAACAGGAAAAAAAGATAATTTATTTTTAAAAATTTTCCTGCAATGAACACTTAAATTATGTCTGATTATAATGCTTGTTCTTTTAGGTGTAATGATGCATTCTATTAAATGGAATGATAATTCAAATATGTTGTCTGCATTGCAAGATGGAAAACTGATTATTTTCTACTACCCAGCTGTTGTCTTTATTGATAAAAATCTATTATCCCTTACTGTTATGCAAAAAGATGACAGGTATTTCTTATTTGGTTGTTAAAACTACTTATGAAAAAAAATTAATTTTACTTTCACCATAAATTAAATTTTTAATCTATGGATTTTGTGTATTTATGCTATTAGTATAAATATTCATATATATTATTTATTATATATATAAGATTCATATATTATTATTTATGGTACTAGTATAAAATATTCATATATTATTATTTATGCTATAGCATAAATAATAATATACATATATATGTATTATTTATGCTATTAGCATAAATAATAATATATCAAAAAAGTAAACTTTTGTATTCATTACTATTCTGTAAAATTTGAAATTGAATCAATGATATATAATATCAATCACCGCAAAACTTTTATCATTTTAAATATGTGTAATGAAATTTTTCAAAGCATAATTGAGATTTTTCTCTTTCCAGTAACTGGCTAACTTGAAAGTATAACATCCTTTACAAAATTCAGTTTTGACTTTAACAGCTTTATTTAACTCTCTCTCTCTCTCGTTTTTTAAATTCAATTTCAAAAGGGGAGAGTTATTAAATAACTTATACACACAAATATATATGTTGTTGAGAATAATTTTTAGATTTATGCTTTGCACCACAGGAAAGTATTTTTTGGATTCTTTCATCACTGTTTGCTATAAACTGTCTATCAAAAACACACAAATAAAAAAAGAATCCCCAAACTCAGTATTTTTAAGTTTTAGATTAAAAAAGTTGATAAATATAATATAAAAACAGCTTACATTTTTACATGTAAGTCACACATTTTTATTTGCCCACCATTGGCCTTTTTAATGATTTCATACGTTAGGAATTCTTTCTTCCCAAATACATGCGATATCTGTCAGTTGGAAATTTTTAATGTGAGCTTTGTTCGCTTGTGCTCCCTGTGGTTTATAACTGAAAAATGTGCTAAGTTCGCTGATGACCATCAAAAGGTTAAAATCATGAAACCACAGGCATGGCTTATTTTGCAGTGATAGTGTAATAATTCTGTTGTAAATTTAAAAGTTTCACTTTGCATAGCATAAATGTGAGTTTCTTTTATATAACTCTCTCAAATGGCATCATTCTCTAGACCTGGAATTTCCAAACCTTTTTCTGCATCAACTCTTCTTAAAAGAATGACTTTTTTTCTTTGGTCCCCTTACATTTTTTCTATAATATACAGCATACAACATAATCATGATACAAATAATTGGAAATAAATAACTTAAAGATAGCAACTAAACTAAGAATATGACCAAAAGTTTTGAAAACGAATGGTAGTTAGATTTATTTTTTGCATTATTATTATATTTGATTTTACGAATGTTAACAAGTTTATTGAAAACAAAAATCACACATTCTGACTGTACAAAAGTTTGATTTTAATTAATGTAAAGTCTGAATTTGATGTACTGAGGCAATTTTCTTTAAATATTTGGCATAAAATTACTTAATTTAATTCTTAAATCATCTCATTCAAAAGTATTCAAGTTGTTTCTTATTTTTCATTGTAAACATTATTAAATTCACTGAAGCCTGCTTCCAATAGGTAAGACGAAGGAAGAATCATAATGTTGATTCGATAACAACTTTTAGTTTGGGAAATTTCTCTTGATGACTCATGATGACAAAATGCATGTGATAGCTAAATTTCTAAATTTCAAAATTTAGCTATCACATGCATTTTGAATAAGACATATTCAATGCAGTCAGCTCTTCTTGCATCATAATATCGAGATCAGATATACAGTACAAAGTCTTTAATCTGGACTCGTCGGGACTTCAGCGATTCCGGATTTGGGGTTTTTCCGAATTATAGATCATTAATTTAAATCTGGTAAGATGGCATGCAGAAATTATAAAATTAAAAATATGAAACTGTAATTTATGAAATAAAGAGCAATAATGATCTAAAGGGTATCAAAATTTACGAAAAAAAAGCTTAATATTTATTTGTTTCTTTCAATGTAAGTTGTTTCGTTTTATGTACTAATACTTTCTCTTTAATTCTATAAACAGATATAATTTCTTGTTCAGTTACAAAATTCTGCTGTTCAAGTCCTGTAATTACTGTGCCGAGAATACTGACTAACTTTTCAATCGAATTTTTTTGTTTTCACTAACCTCTTTGTCACTTTCTTCATGCCTTTATCCATTTTTTGCAGCAATTCCACTTTTTGTTTGATGGACATCGAAACATGCTTTTGCTTTGTAGATCCTTTGGCAGCTCCAGAATCAGAAACTCTTTTTGACATAATTGAAAGTTTAAGCTTACTTTTTATAAAATTGCTCTAACGGTCTGCAAAAAATAATAAGCCGGATCCAATTAGAAGATTAAGGAACAATGCAATCTGCAACATTAACTGAAATAGATAATTAGATAATTTTAGCTTAGCTTATACCGTCCGTTATACATTAAACATGCATTCGTAAACGTACTATGCGCATGCGTAAACGTATTATGCACATGTGTAAATGCTATGCATGTGCATTACACTACGCATGCACAGAAAGTTTGTAGCTTTGAGTCTGGATTATAGATCATTCCAGATTATGGACATCTGGATTAAAGACTTTGTACTGTATTGCAGTTTTTGTGTAATATAAGGAAAAACATCCCTTATATTTATTTGATTTTTTACTTATTACATTTTGTAGCTTTATATCAATGAATAATTAATTATCAATTTTATTTCTAAACTTTATAATCAATAATATCTTAATTAGGCCAATGCATCTACAGCTATCTAATCTTTGATCATCACAGACCTTGCTAAAACTTTCATCATCTTCCAGTCGAAACCTGCTCTGAAACCTCTGATAGGGTTTTGAATGCTTTATCATAGCCTATCATACATGCATTGGCAAAATGCATGATATTTTTGGTCAGTCTGAATTTTGCTATTATCAAGACATCAAGTAGTAGCAAACATCTGTTTTAATGCATTAGTAATAAAATATAATAGATGGTGAAGAAGAATTTTTCTAGATATAATCAAAAAGTAATATAGAATATGTCTTTTAAAATTAGAATTATCAGTAGGTGTCTGGCTACTTTTTGCATTGTGTTACATTACCATAACATTAATCAGCCACACAGTGTGGCTTGTTCTCATGGTTATTCCCCCTCCCCCCCTTCATGAAAAAGGAGGGTTTTTTATGTTTTAAAATGTACCTGTTAAATCATAAAAGTTTATTCCATGTTGTGTGATTAAAAAATAATATGCAAATTTTCCATTAACTTCTATTCTTTGTTTTATTTTATAAAATGTGCTTACTTGATATAATACTTTGTGAATTAAAATAAATTTTAAAAATGCTTTAATAATTATTATAGTTTATGAAAGAGATATCACCTATAGAGGGTAAATCGTATTTATATTTAAAAAGGCAATTTAAAACAATAACTAACAAAATGTTTGGAAAAGAGTTAAGTAAAACCAAATATCTTTCAGGTTTTCAAGATACAGGTTAACAGTTACACTACATAGCACATTTTGCACTATGTAGTGCGGTTTTGGTCGATTAATTTTTGCCCTGACAGAAATATGAACAATGACATAAATGTTTTATATTTGTTAATATCATCTGCTACAAAAGAATGACAATTTGTAGTCTGTTTTTGTAATTGAACAGATAATTCTGACTTAAATTTACAAATACAGAGTTTAGTGTATTTGATGCCTTTAAGAAGTTCACATGGGGCCTAAAACTTTTAATTCAAATGGCAAAATCTGTTAATTACCTACAACTTATTATCAACTCAGAAAGCATATTTTATGAACAAAATATACTAAATTTAGTGCAGAATGGAAGAAATGCCTTAGAAGTCTCATATCTATGCTGAAAAATAACTTAGTATTTCTGTATATGGGTTCTGTCTTGTCTGGCTAAAAGGAAAAAATCATGATATGCATTACTTTTTGACCATGCCTTATACCTATCAAGTTGCTTTCAATTATATAATATTTATGTAATTTTGAACCCTCACCAGTTTTGAACAAAGAAAACTATATTGCATTTATTTTACATCATTATTTATTAATATCTGTTGATTTATGTATATTCATTTTTCATTCACATATTACTCGATTTGAAAATACTTCAGAATTATAAAAAATGCTATAAATTTGAATGAAGTTTTTATTGTAAATGCAACATAATTGCATTTTCATGATGCTTTCTTCCAGTGATTTTGGTAAAAATCCAAAGATAGTAAGCTTTGTTGGGAACCATATCAGTATTAGAAGAGCTGATGGATCACTTGTGTCTTCTGCTGTCTCACCATATCCTTCTGTGCTTCATGGATATGTTTCATCGCACAGATGGGATGATGCAGTTAGGCTTTGTAGATATATTAAAGTAAGAAAAAGTTATGGTGTGTTACAGTTTTTCCCCAACTTTAGTCTTAAATAATATATTTTTAGTTCACATTAGTTTAATTTAGGATAAATTAGATCTTTTTTTTGGGGGGGGATTTGAAGATACTTACATAGTGTAACCACCTTAGTAGAAGTTGCCAAATTTTCAATATATGCATATCCATTATATCCCAAACATATCCAAAACATATCTATTACAATTCTTCAGTTTTAACAAGCAACTTTACCATTTTTGTGTGCATTATTTTTATCATATTTAAAATTTTTAATAAGCAAAATGTAATATTTCTTTGCATTAAACATAATTTTAAATATGTACTTGTGTAATTTACCTACAGTGGAAAAAGTTGCACTAATATTTCTGCATAAATACAGTAATCTGATGCAAAATCATTAGCTGACTTAACTCAGAACAACTGCCCTGAATTCTTAAAGTATTTACTATGAAATTTCTCACAGAACAAAAGAAACAAACACCCACAGTTAAGTAGGTTTATTGATTGATTTTATTTAGACACTTAAATTAGAAATTGTTTTAAATTATAAATAATTAGAAATAAAGACCTAATTAAAGTATAAAATATATATGTAATAAACAAGTTTCTGCTATTCTCTGTCTCCATACTTTTTCTTCTGTAAAATTTGTTACACTGCACCAATTATGGTTGCACCTACACGTAAATACTGATTTAATTTCCTTTTAATGTAAGTTGTATTTTTGACATGTTTAAAAAGTTTTAAATTAATTTTAATAAACAAGTTTAATGTCCGAAGGTAATTTCTTAATTTAAATCATTGTCAAATATGTAAAAATTAATGTAGTGTTTTCAAATTTTTTTAATGCATCCGTGTTTAAGAAATATGTGATTAATCTACGATCAGTAAACTAAATGCTTGTATAACTTTATTCTATTAAAATTATACAAGCTTTCCACTTACCTGAAAAATCAGGGAAAATACAATCTTTCTCTCTCCTCTCTCTCTCTCTTTTTTTTTATTTATTTTTTTTTTATTAATCAATAAAAGTTTGCTTTTTTTCCCCCAAAAAAGTCAGGGAAACCTTCAGCTGATTGGTGACTTTCCAGAGAAGTCACTTCTGACTTCCATGCTTCAGTATATTGGTGAAAAACATTTGTTTAGTTAGCTTTAGTACTATTTAGTTCATAAATAATGACCCCCTCCCAAAAAAAAACATCTTTTGAGAAGCATGAAAATTTCACAAGAAAAACAAATAATTTGTATGTGAATATTTACTTCATTATATCAGATATATAACTATTGTGAAATGAGTTAAAAAGAAAGCATGCAGATCCTCATGTACTCAGACATGAATGTGGTATGTGCATTTGTGGGTTAGTTATCACTGCTTGTAATACACAAAAATACTCCCAAAACATGGCAAGTCTACTGGCTGTTGAAATCGGGAAGGAAGGTACCAAGTTTTTTTATCAACCTTATTGAATTTTCTAGTAAGCATATAAAATTATTCATTTAATTATGCATAATTTGTTAACTAGTTCATAATGTTTGGATAGGGAAGTTGTTCCACTTTGTCATGAAAAGGAAAGTCATAGAAATTAAAAGTTGAAATTCAGCACGAATCCCAGTTATACATAAAATGTACTAGCATAACACATGTAGAATCATAAACAAAATGGATATATTTTGGAAACATAATAGACTTTACATGAATCAAACTTATTGTGAAAATTTAGTGAGAAAATGGAATGTAGAGACTTTTTTAATATGTATTGAAGTTACATTTAAATTCTTTTAGCTTAGAATGTTTTAGATAATGATTTGTTACTTAAGCTAGTTAATATTTAATTTTTTAAATTAATTAAGAGGGCGGAAGAAGGGAGGAAATGTGCTCATGTATTGCTGTGAGAAAATTGCATTAAACACTTTTTCTCATTTGATTACATATAGTCATTAATTACAAAGAAATGTGTTAAGATTTTCTGTAAGACTTTTTAGAGGTTTAAACTGAGATGAATAATGTTTGCTTGTTTTATTTAGGATGAAGCTTTATGGGCTTGTTTAGCTGGTATGTCCATTTCATCCAAAGATCTGAAGACAGCAGAAATAGCATATGCTGCCATTAAAGAGGTAAATTAATTTTTGTAATTGGTCACTTCTTTGATTGTGTGCTAATTAGCCGTCTTTATAGGGAAAATGCATATATTCTAATGCATAATGCTTGGTAAAAAATGCATATATTCTCCAAAATCAATCTGTTTATCTAAGAGGTATTTAAAAAATATTCTCCTTTGAGCTTTGAATACATGCAAGAGTCAACAAGTAAAGTGAACATACCCTTCTTTGTATAATACGATAAAAAAATCACTATTTAATGTAGTCTCCATCTAGCTCAATGCAGGTGTGTCAATGCTTCACTAATGATTTCAGTCAAGCCAGAAATCTGCAATGAAAGGAAAACCACAGTTGTAGTTATGTCTAAAAGGAGTAAAGCGAACGAAAAGGTAGCGCCATCTCTTGGTAGAAATAATAATGAAAATTGAAAAATTAAGTTAATAGAATTTTAAAAGTGTTAGGAAGGATTGTATTGGATTTAAAGTCATTAACTAAGAAGCATAAAACTTTGTGAATGGGAAAGCTTCAAGAAAACCCAATTCAATGATGGTAAAAGCTTTTGGGATAATTTTTGCAGACCCAAAGTCAAAACTGTGATAAAATTTCCAGCTATGATTAGCAAATGAAGATTTGTTAACTCTGCCTTTTTGGAAATAAAAGATTCTTGTTCCTTGATGTGAAACTTTAATACTCTTTTAGTTTGTCTGATATATCTCAAACCACATTGGCAAAATATGTGGTAAATTCCCCAAGAATTAAAGTCAGAAATGGAATCTTAGAGAATCAGACCATGGGTTTTATTGATAAGTAAGTAACTGATCTGAAATTCGAACTTCTGGAGAATCCATGTAATTTTATAACTGACAGAAGGATAAAATCGAAGCATGACAAGCTTATTATGTTATTTCTAACAGTAGAATGTCTTCTTTGATGGCAACATGAAATTTTTTAAAAGCTTTATCAATGATCACGGGAGATAATCTTTGGTTAATGGTAAGTGATCTCTAATAATTGAATCCATTAGCAAGCAGGGATTCTGAGAAACAAACCTGGAAAGTGTGAAATCCATGATAGTAAAAAAAAAGCCATTTTCTGCTTAGCTGGGTGACATGACATAGAACGGAAGACAAACAAACAGAAAAAAGGTTTACAGCAAACATCACTGCTGCAATCATATTCATTGTGCGTTATAAAAATGTGAAGAAAGGGAAGGGTATTGTCAGATTCAGTTTCAAAAGGGAATCAGATAGCTGGATAACTCAAATTTATAACAAGTGGAATCTGGGATAAATTTTCTTTATTACCATTAAAAAGTATGAAAATGTGGTCTACATAGCAAATCCAGAGACAAAAAGATAGTTTCCTAAATATTTGACCTCAAAATAGTGCATGTAAATGTCATCAAATACAGGACTGAGAGGATTTTCCATAGTTAATGATTCAATTTAGGGATAATATTTATTTCAGAAAACAAAGTAGGTTTGACTCAGAGAGACTTTTGTAAGAGAAATTCACTCTTCGATTTCAATATATCTGAAATGGAATTCTCAAAGCTCAATAGTTTCAAGACATTTTAGTGCTTCTACTAGAACATTATCAAACAGTGATTTAACATTAAAAAAAACCACAATATGTGTGTGTGTTTTCATTGTGGATGGAGTATGTTCACATTGATGGATTTTTTGTATACACTGGAAGTTTACATACATTGGTAGAATCACGAAACTGATAAATGCAGACCCATATTGTGTGATTCCTTAGAGATCTTTGAGAGAAGAACACCTAGAGAAATTCTGACCTCATGAACATTAAAACAGCCATTAAGTCTTCTCGTACACCCCCAACCTTGTTTAAAATATCATTTATTTCACCTATTGCTAGCTGTGCTAGGTCTTATGTTCTCCCCCAAAGTCTACAAAATTGGAACTACGTTTCAACTTACAATTTCCAACTTAGTAATGGCATCACTCTCTTTGGCCAAAGGTTTAATTTCCATATTTTCTTCTTTACGTTTTAATAATATACTCACTGTAAAACATACTTTTGAATTCATTGACAAACTTAAAGATATTTCTCCTCTGTACTTCATTATGATTTCTTTTGATGTTAAATCTCTGATTAATAATGTTCCAGCCGAAGGAGCACTAAGAGTCTTGAAACTGGACTTTGAGGGTTCCATTTAACACATCCTGAAATTGAAGTGTTAATTTCTCTTAAAGTCTCTTTGAGTCAAACCCACTTTGTTTTTTAAAATTAATATTATCACCAAACTAAAGGATTAGTTATGGGTAATTCTCTCAGGCCTGTATTTGCTGACATTTTTATGTGCTATTTTGAGGTCAAATTATTTGAGAAACTGTCCTTTTGTCTCTCAGTTTGCTATATAGATGACAATTTTACAATTTTTGATGGTAATAAAGGAGATTTATCCCAGATTTTATTTGTTATGAATTCGATTGGTCTAGCCATCCAGTTCAGTTTTGAAACTGAATCTAACAATACCCTTCCCTTCCTTGATGTTCTAATAATGTGCAATGAATCTAATGTTGGCATTACTGTTTACAATAAACCCTTTTCTGTTTGTTTGTATCCACATGCTAAACCATGTCAACTAGCTAAGCAGAAAATGGCTTCTTTTTACTACAATGTATTTTGTGCTCTCGAATTTGTTCCTCGAAATCTTTGCTTGCTAATTAACTAAATTTTTTAGATCAGTTGCCATTAACTGAGGATATTCTTCTGTTGTTGTTAAAGCTTTTAAAAAAAATTCATATTGCCATCAAAGAAGACATTCCAGTGTTAGAAATAACATTAATAACATTGTCATGTTTCTATTTTATCCTTCTGTAAGTTACAAAATTGCACAAATCCTTCTGAAGTTCAATTTTGAAGTCATTTTCTGACCTATAAATAAAATCCATGCTTCAATTGTTTAAGATTCCATTTCTGACATTAATTCTTGGGGAATTTATAGCATATCTTGCAGTGTGATTTGAGACATATTGGCCAAACTAAAAGAGCTGTAAAATTTCTCATCAAGGAACCCAAATCTTTTATGACTGAAAAGGCAGGATTAACAAGTCTTCAGTTGAAAATCATAGTGAAAATTTAATCAAGTTTTGACTTTGAGTCTGCAAAAATTATCCCCAAAGCTTTTTCCATTGGTGAATTGAGTTTTCTTGAAGCTTTTCGCATTCACAAAGATTTATCTTGTTTAGTTAATGACTTTAATCCTAATCCAGTCCTTCATAACACTTTTAAAATTCTATTCTCTTAATTTTTCAATCTTTATTACTATTTCTGCTGAGAGATGTCAGTACCTTCTAATTCGCTTTACTCCTTTTGGGTATAAATTCAATGTAGCTTTCCCGTCATTGCAGATGTGATTGCTGCTGATGAAGAGAGACCTAGGCACTTGCCCTCGATAACGAATGAGGTAGTAAGGCTTCAGACTAGAGAATGGAACCCCAAAAAGTGACCTGAGGAGAAGGAAGTTGAACATGTATTTTTATGCATTTTCAACTCCCTTCTCCTGCATAACACTAAGTTGAGATTTATGGGTATGATTTCACAGTTGCCTTCATTGAAATGAATGAGTAATCATTTAATTAGTATCATTTCAGTGGGGAGAGGCAGATATCATCCAATTGAGTTCTTAAGCCACAGATACCCTACTTCTTTTTAACTTAACTGCCTTCACTGAATTTTGTGCTAGCCAGTCCTTCTGTCAGGAGTTCATTCATAAACCTGTTAAAGTTATCTTCAGGTCTTTTCAGTACTAATGCTTCACTCTAGAGGTGAATTTTTTTCATTTCCTTGCCTAAAAAGATACAGATTTTGTACCAAAATTCAAATGACTGCTTGCTTCTCCTTTTTGAATGGTTGTTTGATGTCAGAATTCATTTGGGTCAATAAACTGGAATCTAATGATACCGGAAAATGAAGAACATAGCAAGGTAGAAGGGGGCAGTGCACCAGAATTTTTATTTTGAATTTTGGGGTAAAATATGTATGTAATATATTCAGGAGCAGGAATTTGGATGACGTAGATCAGGGATGTCAAACTCATAGGTACACTTGGGCCAAACAAACAAGGTTTAACTTTAGGTGGGCTGCAAAAAAAAAAAAAAAAAAAAAAAAAAAAAAAAAAAAAATCAATATTCATAGAAACGTAGATTTATTTCGAATAATACAATAATAAACATATATATATTTATATAGAAAAGAAAAAAGAAAAATTAAATGTTTACGTCCTGATACTTGACATCTCTTCCCTGCTTTTATCTTTCCTATTTCGGGAGAAATTTTGTTTGCAGTGATAACTTTCAACGCTGACCCAAGGTGAGCATCATTAATACGGTTTCTAATAGGAGACTTATTACCTTCATGACTGAAAATAACTGCTCGCACCGATAAGTGCTACCAAACATGGAAATAATTTCATATGCGAATTTCGAGTATTTTCAAACCTGGCTGGTAAATATTTGTAAAATTCAGGCACGCCCACTTCAATGAATTTTGCTTTCAAATTTGAGTTGCATTGAATCTCGATCACCTCCATTTGCATATGGCTGGGTACTGAGTCGATACTTATTGAGAAAATCGAAGAAAGAAAAAAAAAAAAATTTGTCTTCGAGGGAATAAAATCATTAAACCTCGTTTCAAATTCAGTTGTTAAATTTGCAAATTTTTCTGCGTATTTTTGATACGAACAAGTATCATCTAAACTTGATTTGTTCATGCTGCACGTCGGGAAGTGCGTCAAATCTTCATTTTTAAGTTCTTTTTCCCAAAGAACTAGTTGACATTTTGACATTTGAATGCTTTAATTTATGTCAAACATGTTCGTAATGATATGATCTTTTCCTTGTAACGATAAATTTAAATCGGTTAAGTGTGTTTGGTTATATCAACCAAGAAAGATAAATCTTGTATCCCTATAAATTGGATCGTAAAACAAACTTACGTCTTGATTTTTCGTTTTTAAAAACTGACATATTTCTTCTTTCAAATCCCAGAATTGT